AGGGAATCAGCAACACTGTGTAACACGACAAATTACTAGCCAACGGCCTCCCACGCCTGCTCAAACTTTGTACATTTTAGCCTTAGTGGTCCCGCAACTACCTCCCACCAAACCCCCTCTCGATCCTATTTGTCAGGTGGAAACTGGGTGTGAAAAATGGTTGTGTTTTTCAGCAGAGCCACGGGGCTCTGAGCCAGAGCTTATCGCTGTCTACCTTACGATAAATAAGACTGATCATCAGTCCCAACAAGATGCATTGCAAACATCAAATTAATTATGACACTCACTGAGCGATTACCACAGATTATTCAAACATTGTTTGGCAGATATAAAGGTGAAATAGTAAACTGGGGATACAGTTTTCCCAGAAAGTGGAATCTAATTTGGCAGGTGAGCGCAGAGCCTTTAAAGAATAGAGTGTTACTAGGGGGGCAAATGGCTGATTACAGCAACAAGGCAGTCAACTGGATGTGGAAAGTGAAACAAATAGCTGTGACCCCCGTTGAGTTCAACAGTAACTGAGTCAGATGACTAACTTGATCAGCAGATACCTAAATGGATGGCACTTGTGCACCAGAAGGAATCCATTAAAGGGATTTATTCTTGGTGTGTGTGTTTGGGCATACAGCTTTTGTGTGTATGCAAGCTCAGGGCACATGTGAGGAAATGTGGAAATGTGTGTGCTTGCATTTTTTTTTCTCTTATATGGGGCTGGGGAAGCGGTGTCCATGCCTGCAGGCTTTGTTGACCGGCTGTGCTAAAGGTCCAGCATATAACCGCAGTTTATTCTCTCACAGCCTAGAGGCACTGTAAACCTACACAGGTTGTCATGTTTTTTTTATCATATGTGTTAAGCATTTTGAATTTGCATGTAATGAACACATGAAATATAAAGAAAATTGCCATTGCCACAGTCACTATGTGGTAAACTAATTGATCTGGAGTACATTTAAAGGATTGGGGAGAGTGGGTGAGAGGGGCTGCTGAGGAAAAGCCCTGCGCACAAAACATATGAATAAACAAATAAATAAACAAAACAATCCAAATCCTCTTTCTGCATTTCTAGCCTGTCAAAAACACATGGCTGTCATCACGTGTTCACCCAGCTCTGCCGAGCAGTATCACAATAAGACAGTTGTCAGCTTCCATTGTTTACGAAGTGATTACATGGGATGTCTTAACATATGTGGTGAATAAATAAATAAATAAATACAAATGTAAAAAGCTAAAAATCCGCGTAAAGATCCAGAAAGAATCTTTAAATTTGCGGGGCCACAAACAAAGCTGCAAAAGCAAAAAAAAAAAAAAAAAAAAAAAAAAACCCTCAAACGAGCTCTCAGCTGCACTGCTGCTACTTCATCTTCTTGCCCCCCTGCAGACTGCTGGCAGTTAATCTTTTCCTAACATCTCATGGAGGATTCGTCACACGTCGTCTTTTGCAACATGTTATTCCTGTCTGCAATCAGTAATCAGTCTTTGTCGTTAACCCTCCCACCACCACACCGTCATGATTGCCACGGTCACGGTGACGCACTTTGCCTTTTATCAAGAGCATCTTGATCTTAAGTTCTATAAAGCGGTGCGACCACCGCCGCAGCGTCCTGTGTCACAAAGATTCTCACAAAGGTTGTGACACAAAAGTTAGAAACGCAAGCGGAGAACATGCAATCGCTCAACATTTCCGTCACTTCTCTGTACTGAACAAACGAGAAAAAAAGTTCGTAAAGAAACGACAACAACAAAAATAAATGAATGCATAAAACAAGCTGCAATCTTTCGCTCGGAGGATCCTGCTGCTGCTGCTCAGCATCCAGAGAGAGGCGGGGGTGTGGGGAAGCAGCACAGGAAAGTTGGAAGCAGAGTCTTACCTTATAATCGCCGTGTCGCCCTGTCGGATAGTGATGTTGTCGGTGGCTCTCTGCATATCCACACTCCGGACGGGGAATCCTGTGGGGATAAGACAAAGCAGTCTGAAAAACGAAGCCTGTAACTGCCTCCAGCACGACTTGCGTCCGACTTGCATTTTTGAAAGCACAGGAGCGCGCGCGCGTTTCTGCAGTTATAAATCCAAGGGTGAAAAACGGGGTAGAGGGAAACAGTCGTAGTTGTCCACACTTCTGGAATTTGTTAAGGTCCAAAGCAGTTCGGATTGAACGGGTGACACGAGGTTCCGAAAATACTTTTTTGGAGGGGGAGGGGGGGCGAAAATCCTCCTTCTGTACTCCAGTGACGCACAAAGCTCTCCGCGTAAAGACACGGCACAGCGACGATGGAGAGAGGCAAGCTTCTGTTTAGAGTCTGGGAGAATCACCCCCCACCACCACCCCCTACCTCTCTCTCTCACTCTCACTCTCGCTCACTCAGATTATCCAGCCGTCTGACTCTGATGCTCCCCTTATTGGTTGTCAGGACAACAGCACCACCTGAGGTCCCTTTCGGTGAGACGCAACCGAACGAGGACCGAGGACACACCGTGGAATAAGTTTATTTTTGTTTTTATTTTTAGAGAATAAGAAAAACAAAAATATTCAACAGAAGAAAAGAATCGAGTTGTGTATCTGAATATCCATGAAGGCTATTACGCGTCTTGAATATCAGAACAGGTTTCGGACACAAACAGAGAAAATAAATAATAATAAAAACAACCCAAACTTCCAGTTTTAAATAGGTCTAGAAAACTTTCCTTCCTTGAGGTGAAGCCATGCAGAAAGACACTTTCCCTCTGAGGATCACTTCAGTACCATTACTCTTCAAACAAGCTCATTTATCTACAGCAGGTATCCACTCATTTACACCATTAGCTCCCATAGCATTTCCATGCCTAGCAGATCTGCAGTGGACCATGAGATCTCGAGTGGATACGTTTGGTGCCTAATTATGATTTAGGTGGAGAGCCTGTTGTTTGCATTATACAATTCCATTTAACATGTTCCATTAAATGTTAGACATGAAATTAAACCAAAGGACATTTTTGGAAGAATTCACTATATATATTAGAAAAAAAGATTTATACTTATTTTTACCATTTTGAGGATGATACAGAGCCGTGAATAGCTTAACCAGACATAATCACCTCTTGTCAAGACTAGCATTGACTGTTGTGATGCCATAGCTTGAAAAGTAATTACATCCACTTTCAGCATAAGCAAGGACACAAGTTTGTGAGGTGCACGCCTCGCAATTATGCAGACATGTGAATGCAGCATGAGCTTGTAATTTCACCACTTGCCAATCAAGCGCTGGCTTAATAGGCCCTGATCTGATGCTCACTTGACGATGTGCTTAATGACGTGCAGTGTAACAATTTAGGCAGCGCATTTAGCATTATTTGATTCTACAAATACATTAATACTAATGCGAATCATTGTCATTCGCTGCATAGTGCACTCCCATTTTTTTATTTTTTTTTTTTGTCTCTGGGGGTATGCAGTTAATAATTCAGAATCACACTTTAATTCTTTAATTGTAGTGCTCTAAACTAGTCACACTGATACAAGCACAGCACTTGCTGAGGTCATGACCTGAATGTAGAATAATTACATATGTTCTTAATTTTGCAATTACTCCAGCTAGCTTAAAAACACAATCAGACACAATCAGTTGCCTGTTTTACGGCAGCCTCTCGAAGCATCTTTACCCTTCTTTTTTATGCAGACTTTTTGGATGCATTAGAAAAATTGACGAGCACGCGAAAGTAGAACTGATAAGGACCACTGGGGTAATTTATGTCAGTAAATGTATGGAGGTGCTTATGTTAGTGCATTAGTTGAGAAGTGTTAAACTGTTTACAACAAGGGGCGCTTGAAAAGCTGCTCCCTACTTGGTGCTTAATAAATAGTGCTTGTTACAGTTTTCCTCATCTTCTAGAGGTTTAAGCTATCTTGGCAATTTCAGTTTATGAAAGAGCATTTGCATTAAGACCACTTTAAAAGATTTACTGGGTTCACAAGAGGAGAGAAGAGGGTCTCTGTGAAATACATACTTATGTAGGGGTGACTCCTACATGCCCTTTTGCTTTATTTATAGTTATAAATTCTCAAAAGTACGCTAGTGATCCAAGAGGCTTTTTATGTGCAATAAGTTGAGTTCTTGCTTTTATGGCAGCGAGATGGCAGAGTGGAGGCCAACAAAACAGCTGCTTTAACCGGGTCTTATCAGAAGTCCACTGATGCCTGGAGGCCTTCCCTGTACTAAAGGCTCACAAACACTCACACAGAGACAAACTGAATGCAGGGAAACACAGCAGTTATTATTGTGTTGGTGCTATGCTGGTGTTGGAGTTTGAATAGCAGACGTGGTCATGGATTCTCCTTTTGTACACGCAAAATAAACTGTACATAACACATTGTACGTTGATCCAGAATATGACATGTAGAACAATGTGATGCATTGTTTGCTGTTTACATTACAAAATAAAATAAAATCCCCTCAGTCTGCAGACAGCTGGGAGCCAAAAGGACACAGCAGAAGAGGCAAAAGTCCTTTTTATTTGCTAGTTCATGCTGGCATACATTCTACACAGCTGGGGTCAGAAGTTTACATAAACCATTCATGAATGAATGTCATTATAATTTTGGGCTTTTCGTGATTTCTTTCAACTGTTCTTTTTCCAGAGTGGGATGTTTGTACATTATACATACTGCATACAGTTTTCTCTAATCCACACAAGTTCAAAAGTATACATACAGTTTCAAATATTTACATATACCATCACTAATATTTGGCACTATATTTAAATGTG